GAGTTTGAGACCCCTGGTATAAAGCAACTTGGTACCATGCAGCTTATGACATCCCAAGAATGAGAAGCCCAGTGAACCAAATGGACTCTTGGAACTGAGATCAAGCAGGATTCCTTTATTTGACAGTCAGGTGGATCCTTTGTCCATGTGGACAGAGCACACCTGCATGAAATGCAGCACTCTGAGGGACAGATGCATGACTGCTTGCTGTATTTGCCAGGTTCATTAAGGGTGCAGGCCAAGAACTGAACTAGCCAAAGCAAAGCAGCAGGTAGGCTACAAAGACATCTGGACAGAGGTGAAAAGGGGAGGATGTGGAGGGTCTCTCAGCAAGACCCTGAGCAGCACCCAAGTGGCCACTCCAAATTTAAAGAATTTGGTTGTAGCTCAGCACCAGGGCATGTGCTTTGCATGCAGCCGTTCCCTGGCATCCCCAGGTAGGCTAGGAAAGAACCCTACTTTGTCAGCTGTGGCCAGTCAGTACAGGCCATATTGTCCATCTGTGGGCTGGTGGCCATTATCCCTATTAGAATTAAATCCGTGCTCCATTGCATTGCCCTATTTTGTCTGGGAGATGGCCACAACTCTGCTATTTTCTGCTCTAGAAGTAAGACACATTAAGCAAATGTCACACTTTGCTGATGATACTTACACAGGAGAAAATGAGCATCAGGCCTCTTGGCAAAATCCGGCAGGTACAGCCATTTAATCAGATCTGAGTGGAGCACCCAGTGAGAAGTCCTCCAGGGATAATCTGCCAGCAAACAGGTTATCTGTATCACACAAAGTACCTTAAACTGATCTGGGGGAATGGCTGCCTGGTCATGTTTGATTCTAAGGGAGCTGTCAGGAGGCCAAATGTTGGATATCCGCTGGCTGGCTCGGTCAGCCCTTTGCTCAGCCTATCCATCATTGCTATGCGTTCGCCTCCAGATGTGCAAATCTGCCCCCAGAATACTCGGTGCTGCATTTACCTTGGCACAGAGCAGGCGGGAGACCAATGCAAAGCAGATACTGAAAAGCCACGATGCTAGCGAGGAAGCAGCAGTATTTGGGCCAGACCTCAGCAACTGCTTTCCTCCGATGGAAGCTCAACAGGTAAATCAGCCAAACGGCGTAGACAAGGGCATAGATGTCCATGCGCTGCCTGATCACGTTAATGGCAGCCACAAAACATATCTGAAAGAGCAGAAAGAGCACAGGAGGTCACTGAGCCAGTCTTCAGCTTGCTCCAACCTCATGAGATTTAAGACTGAGACCAGATTGTCTCATCTCCTGCTCAAGATATCTAGCAGATGCCTAGGGCCTTGGTTCCTCATGGAATGTCTCCTTCCTTATCCATCTGCCCATGCCTTAAGGTCATCCATGGAAGCCCTCCAACTTCATTCTCATTCAGAAGTTCAGAAGGTGTAGAGAGCCAGTGTGGTGCAGTGGTTAAGAGCATGGGACTGGGACTCAGACGATCTGGGTTCTACTCCCCACTCAGCCATGGAGCCAACTGGGGGACTTTGGGCCAGTCACAGACTCCGAGCCCAACAGGGTTGTTGTTGTGGGGATAAGATGGAGGAGGAGAATGATGTAAGCTGCCTTGAGCCCTTTGTAGGAAAAAGGCAGGATATAAATGGGGGGGGGGGGGGGGAAGGTGGCAACAAGGGCCACCTTGCAGGTGTTTTCCATGGTGACCCCTCAGTTCTGGAATGCTCTCTCAGAGGAAATTTGCTTGATGCTCACACTGATATATTTTCAGCACCAGACTGACTTTTCTATTCACCCAGGTTTTTACCAGTACTTTTATATAGAAGATTTACTATTTTAGTCCATGTGATGAGATTAACTTCTTGTACCCTGATGTGGCCCTGTGGCTGGAGTCTACAGAAATATCTGTGGCCACTAGGAGCAGACTTTACTAGCCAGCACTTAGCTTTGCAATCCACACAGTCAGAAGCCAGGATAGATTAGTAGACTAGGGCATAGAGGCATCTGCCTCCTGGGATCACACAGACAGGTTCATACTGTTGCGTTTTTCTATCCAGCTGCATGCAGAGGTTGCCAGTGATGTTAGGAAAATGCAGCTTTGAGGATGGCCATGAGACACCATGTCTACAGTTTGGATCACAGTAACTTTTCCCCAGGCCGGGTGAAATGGTGCACATGGAAAGATCCAACGCTGTGCAGACTAGCTTTATGAGAGCCAGCCATGACTCCCTTTGTGACCTCTGGCATCACATCAAATAATTTCCTTCTCTAAACCATATTTCTTTTGTCCCTCGTGTTCCCCGTCCTGCACTACAATTTTAAGGAGACATGTTTTTCCCGTTCTGATATTTTCTTACCTCTAATCCGAATTTGTAAAAACCATAATTGATGAAGTATTTGACACAACTGAGTACACTGTCATCCAATTTGTCCCGGGTAATGTCATGAAAGAGACTCCCTGTGGGAGGCGGCAGCCGCTGATTCTGAATCCGGTAGTAGAGCTGGTGGCGCTGCACCGTTGCTTCCAGAGCCATTAGAAGCAGGATGGTGAGGTGATTCTGCGAAGGGCGGAAAGCAGGAAGCCTTACTGGAATGCCCAGCACTTCACAGCCCACTGCAACCGCCTGGCGTTGCCCAGTTTGCCTTCTCCCCTTTGACTCCTGGCTGCAAAGGGACCCAATGATCACTCCAGGCACTGAGATCAGCGATGGCTGCTGATGCAGAACAGTGGCCTGGGACTCAGGCGATCTGGGTTCTAGTCCCCGCTCAGCCATGGAGCCAACTGGGTGACTTTGGGCCAGTCACAGACTCTCAGCCCAACCTTCCTCACAGGGTTGTTGCTGTGGGGATAAGGTGGAGGAAGAGAATGATGTAAGCTGCCTTGAGCCCAGGATATAAATCGAAAAAATAAATAAATAGCAGGCTGGCTGTTATCTCACGATAGCCTCACCATCTTACCACTAAACAAGCCTTTTTGCAATGCCTGTAACAGCAACGTCTCACCTCAGCACTGATGCCGTAAAAATGCTCCTACCTTTAGGTAAGGAAAGACATTGGCATTACACTTCAGCAGGCCTCCGACCCAGTGCGCTGGGTCCACTGGTGCTGCGTACAAGGCTGACTTCTCCAGTAACTCATCCGCATTGGTAGAGTGGTAAGTCGTGTTCAGCTGCAGCCCCTGAGGAGAGAAAGCATCTGCAGCAATTGCTAAACGCTGCTTCCCGGCTTGAGCTGAGGTTTGCACAGGAGCGTCGACTCAAGAGAACAACTTGCTCAACTCGTACTAGTGTTGTTCTTGTCCAAAGGCCATTAAAAACTGGGAACCAGCACTGCTGAAAGCTGAAGGGAAGAAGCATCCCGGGGTGCTGAGGTATCTCTTTCTGGAGGCCTGATCTCCAGAAACAGACTTATCGTAGCACTGTTATTACTGTTAGTATTGTAAGGTTTAATTATGTTTATTACCAGTAAATTGATTGTATCGCTTATGTTTGTTCAATCAATAAAATTATTTTTTAAAAAAGAGCAGACTTATTATGAAGGATACTGTGTCATTTGGTTCCAGCCTTGCTCAACTGATCTGTCTCTAAATAACTCCTTTATTACAGATTCACCACTGTCTTCCACTAGTCACGAAGCACCACCAAATCTTCCAGTAATCTCTCCTTCCAAAGGATGCCAAGCCAAGCTCAGGCAATGCTGCTCTGGAACGTCTAGCAGAAGTGTTGCAATAACATGGCGGCAATGGAATGAGCCTGAGCCGCACAAGGGGAACTTCACAAAGCCCTTGGGCGATGTGACATCTCATTCCTGTTACCTAAACTGCAGGCTCAATATCAAAGCGACAAAGCACCAACAGCCAGATGGCCACTTAAGCACTGCCAAAAAGGGGGAACATGTCACTGGAAAAGGGGACAAAAGTAGGCACAAATTTGTATAAAAATGCGTATGTGTAGATGCACGTTTGGAAATAATCATCATGCTTTAAATAGACATACGGTATTTGTCATGCCAGTGTGGTGTTGTGGTTAAGCACATGGGACTGGGACTCTTGTGCTCTAGGTTCAAGTCTCTGCTCAGCCACGGAGCCAACTGGGTGATTCTGAGCCAGTCACAGACTCTTAACCCAACCTACCTCACAGGGTTGTTGTTTTGGGGATAAGATTGAGAGCAGGAGGAGAATGATGCACACTGCTTTGAATTTTTTAAAAGGAAAAAAGCAGGATATAAATCAATCAATCCTAGTGGGGAAACATGAAGGTGATCTGTGTGTCTGACCAGTCCACCATCTGAAGGCTAATTTCAAATTTCAGGCTCCTGCTCTCCATTCGGATGAGTCTTTACCCATAAGCCAGACTTGGACTGGACTGGGCAGACCATCAAAATGAAGATGCTTCCAAACCGAGGGCCTGTGGCCACTCTGACTTGGAAAGCCCATGCACAGATGGGCTCTGAGAGCCTGCAAGCAAACACAGAAGATGCTGGACAAGTCTGGGTCCCCAGTACATTAGCAAACTGACCTGTGTGCAGTTGGAGGAATACTGCAAGGGCTTGACAAATTTCAGCTGGTATATCATTTTACAGATGACTATCACGCTGGACCAGAACATGCAGATCCTCAGGGTGAGTGGACGGAGCTTGGGATATGGAAGAGCAAATGCCCATGCTATCAAGAAAGGGAAGTTCATCAAAGACACCTGCAAAACAATATTACAAACATGCCAGACAACAGAAAGGGCACAACTGGAGTGACATCTCAACACCACAGGAGCTTAGAGCCCCTTCCTCCTCCCCACTACGAGGTCTGGCTTGCTGCAGCTCTTTTTACTTCTTCCTTTTTAATATTTATTCGTTTATTTTTGGAACTTGTGAATGGCATTTGTTCAGCTGGCTTTCACAGGCCCCATTTGGGCTGCCCCCCTCCCCAGTGCCACGTCACTAAATTGGGGGGCCTCCCTGTGCTCATCCCCCTTTTCACTTTTGGGGGAAAACGGTGAGGACCATGAAAGCCAGCCTTTATGGTGGGGAGAGTGGGAGGCAGCCTTTACCAGCTGCCCGTAGGTGCTGCTTGGGCACTTTTGGCACAGCTGGCAATGGCTGCCATCTGGCAGATGTTTGGCAAAGGGTTCTTCCAGCCGCTTGTAGCTGGGTTCACCCATAATGGGTTCACATGGCGTAACAACCTATTGCATGTCAAAAGGATACAAGAGCAGTACATGGATTCTGATTGTCAGTAGCTTGGAATTAAAAACAACAACCCACAGTATGTGATGCATGCTGGGTTAGCTTGACACAGCTAACCATTGACTGCTATCATTGGTTGGTTGTCCCATTGGACGAACCAGTCAGGGTTTGCTCTGAAGGCACAGAAGGCATCCACCCTGTTGAAGCTAAGCAAGTCTCCGGCTGGCCTGAGGTTGGAGGGGAGACCCCTGGGAAACCCATGTAGCCACCTTGGGTTTCACAATAGGAGAAAGATGGGATATAAATATAATAAATGCATACATTGGTGTTTGAGGGGATCTACGATAGTCCACATTCCCAGATCTGAGGCCAGAGACAGTACTATGAGTTCGGAGCTGGGAATCAGGGTTCCAACCCTTCTACCCTGCCAGAATCAGCCAGCTGCTAAACAAGGTTGGGAAAGTGATGGGGGGGGAAGGGGCAAGAAGAAAGGAGACTGAAGAAGCCAGGATATGAGATCTCCTGCAGCCACTCCATTCCTTTCACTTCCTTTTCAGAGATGCTCCACTTTGACTTGGAAAAAAAGCCAATCGAATGGAAAATGCATTGCATAGGAAGATTAAGACTGGCTGCCAATCCGTTTGCTCTCTGCCACGTGCCTGCCGGTCTCCAAGCTCAGAGGCACCACAACACGCTTGCATCCTAAGTATATAGCTTATTCACCAGACTCCGGATTGTGTATCTCAGGGTTATAATAGAAAGAAAACCTCAATTAATTCTGAAAGTCTAAAATCTATTTACCTCTAGAATCACTGTCATTTGACCACAATTCCCAGATTCCCAGGCTCTGGAACTTCCCAAACAAGACGGAATCATCTTCCTAGGGTAGTCCAATAGGAAGACTTTTAGGCCATACATGATAGCTCTCTTTGGAGTTGCCTAATTGTGATGGCCACATTAATTTTAATGGTTGCTTGCATATTTCATTTTATTCCCTTCCGCCGATTTAAGTGCTTGATGCATGCTTTCTTGTTTTTAATGGCTATTGTGCAGCCGGTGTTAAAAGTGCTACGCTATTGTTATTTCGGGCACAATCCTGTGCATATTCATACAGAAACATATTATATAGAAAAAGCCTTCTAATTCCCAGCATCATGCCAGCCAACCATAGTGGCCAGACTGGAATTATAGCACTGTTTCTATCTAAGCAAACATCGGATTGTGCCCTTAATTATTGTTTTAATTTAACATTATTAACCACTTTGGGTTTTTTCATGAAAAGTGGGTACCCCAGCAAGAGAGCCAGCACCTAAAGAATCAAGAATGCACCCTTTAAGTACCAATACCTTCCCCTATAGTTTGACCTACCTGGAACTTGTCTAGCTCCCCAGTGCCTCCACACCTTTACTGGAGCAATATCTTGGTCTGCTGCTTTTGGAGGCATATGAGCAACCTGATTTCCCTTTTTTAAACTCCTGAAAGCTGTTCATGGTCAACCTCCTTGCCTGGATTCTTGCCCGGCTTCTTGGTTCTCCCTGTGGACTCTGCCTTGATTGGGCAGGATAGCTGTTTACTGACCTCCTGAACAGTGACCCAGATACTCCAAGCAGATATAATCTTAAGAATGTGCAGCTCCAGAAATCTCCATGCAAATGCCTGCGTTGTCCGAACCACGGTCAGAAACTCCAGGAGACGAGGCGCCAAGCCATCAACCAGCTCTTGCCATTCACTCATTTTTTCCGCTATGAAAATGGAGCAATTGATTTCAGTGCAAAATCAGAGCAGGAGAAGCCGGAACAGGAATTTGCCAAAAGTCTTCCTCATGGAATTTACCAGAGAGAGGGAGGAAAGAGTAGCACAGCAAAGAGAAGTAAGGCTTCCTACAGAGAACTTGCCCCTGCTTTGGTGGTGCTAAGAATTGTGTTTTAGAGGTCTATATTCTTCCTCACACAATGACAGCTTTCAGAAGGAAGGGAATCACTTTTCAACTGTTTAAATCTCTCCATTGATTCGTTCACAGTCCCCATTTGCTAAATACTTACTACCAGTACTAAGTGGTACTGATGACAAAGTAGGTTGTGCAAAGGACACAAAATTGCTTGTGAACACAACGGGATTTACTTCTAACAGAAGAGAGCAAGCAAAGCCATTCCTCTGATAGAGCACAGCGTTATGGATAAACTTTTACCATCCTTATAGGATGGAGTGACGTGTGCTTTTTGGACTGGGAGGGAGGATGTTCCACCTCTGGGACAGAATAGAGCACTATAAGAGTTCTACTTTCATACCCAGCCATCAACACCTAGCATCCTCAGGACCCACCAGGGCCCAAGGAGAGTCCCCCATCACCCCTCCACTTCAGTTTTGCTTTCCGGCCGGGCATTCCAAGAAGCTCTGGGGACTGGATCCAGTCACCATTTTAATTTCCCACAGCGCTATGGACATTTTGTCATTCCAGGGCATTGTGGGAAATGTATGGCAGCTAGGCCAACCACCCAGTGCTGTTGCTGCTGCAACCTACCAGTGGTGGCAGTAGTAGGTTGTAGGGGGGACCTCTATGGGGGAAGGAGAACTCCCAGGGGACATTTTGCCCATGGCTTCGCAAACCTGGGGACAGCATTCTTAACAGACTTTAACAGTACTAGGGCCAATTCAGAGAAGATTTCCAGGAACAGATTTCTGTTCTTGTGCACCATGAAAGCAGCATTTATCGTAATGCAAGGCTTGCTTCCTTGCTTCCTTATAGCTTCAAGGCAGGAGAAAAATGCGTGCAATTACCCAGATTCTCCTGTTGGCCCTTTCTTACAGTGTCGTCAGATGGGTCCAATCCATCCTGTAGCTGTTTTGCAGCCAACCTGTTGAAGAGGCAGATCAGAGTTAACAGCTTCGATCCTGACATAGCCAGTGAGGCTTTATTTCAGTCATTGGGAAAGTCCCACAGTACTCAGGTTCAGGACCAGGTTTGCATATGACAAACAGCCGCAGTGCAGGAATTTTCCCATGGGGCTTTTCCTAATGGCAGGGGCTGCCATTCTGACTATTGGAGCCATGCAGGGAGCCACTGTTGCTTGTTATGTGTGCTCCTGCTGAGGATGGGTTGTTGAGGTGCTTGACAGCCCACGGGCTCTCTTAGGGTTGTGGGTGGCTTGTCACCAGGATCACGCGTAATGACAAGCTACAGCATGATTCCACCGCAGCTCAGATACTGAATGCAATAGAAAGCCTGTGGGTAAATTCTCAGCACTTGCTTCTCGTTTCATCCAGACCTACCCACTAGCCCCTCGGTTAAGGACAGCATGGGGATGCTAGCCTCCGGCTCTTAAAATGCAGAAGGCTTTTAAGGCATTTAAAAAATAAATTTACAGGGGAGAATAGAGATTAGACTTTGCGGTTGTTAGTCAAATATTACAATTTGTTTTAAAGTCAAACATCTTCAAACTTCATATGTTCTGTTTCTCGCTTACCTATTCTTCATGGCCAGGATGGTTTCTTTTACCCTGAGAATGTTAAAGAAAAAGAAACACAGCATCAGGAATAGTTCTGCACATGTGGAAGCCTTGAAAAGACTGAGGAAGGGAATCTTCCCAACATCCACTCCCTGGACCATTTACTGGCACTGCAAAGGACTGAATGGGGAGTTCTGCATCCAGAGGAGGTGTTCTACCATTTAGCCACAGTCAAGGTTGAGCTATTCCTCAGTGTGAATTAAAGCAGAGCCTTCTGTCTATCTACTCAATAGTCAGCCCCATGGAACTCAGGGTGACTTAGTCCCTGGTAAACAGCTTTAGAACTGCAACTTTATAAAATCTAACAATATGCTGGAGGTGCATTCCCAGGTGTATCATATTTTAACAATAAACTGCCTTTCTGGATTTTGTACCTTCGACATATCCAGTTTGATCTGGGTTTTAAATAGGATATGAGTTCAGCTCTAGAAAGCAACCAAATCATATTCTTGCTATGGGCAGCTTTAGTCTAATTGGAGCATTGCTCACTGTACAGAATGCCACTGAGTACGTCGATGAGAAAATGACCATCATTCCAACCAGGACTTCCAATCGCTCCACAGATTGGAATCTCCCTGGGCAGCCCTTGTCAGGACTTCTGCATCTGAGCGGCTAACAATGCTAACAATGCCCTGTCTGGATCTGCATGATGAAAGCTGCATTTTTCTTGCTATAGCCATGGTTTTGTAAAACAATGCTAGGTGATGAAAGCTGGGGCATGGAACACTACAAAACAGGAGTAGTACATAATTTGGAGAAATGGTCCAGAAATGCTAATGGCTCAGCCATGGTACATACATTTTCCCTAACAGGCCAAATTGGTTCTGGGGAGGAGGGGAATTTTCATCTGCAAAACTGCAGAGAGAGAAAGGATTTTCCAATCGATCCTTTCCACAATGCTGCAAGAAAGCCTACTCACGCATTAGCCAGAGAGTACACCCAAGTCTCCATTTTCCTATCCCTGGAGAGAAAAAGAACATATATCTTACTGCTTGTCTTATTTCAGCTACAGTAAACAGAATGCTACTGAACAGTAATTTTCTTTTAAGGGGTGTGTTTGTATGTGTGTGTGAGAGAGAGAGAGAGACTTAAGGGTGCAATCCTATGCATGTTTAGACAGAAAGATATACAATTCTTAGCATCTTGTTTTGTTTTGTTCCAACATGCATATGGCTCCCATTAAAGGCATCATTCTCACAGCAGTTCATGTCTTATATACTTGTATGTCATATTCCTGCTTTCCTTCATTTAACGGTTTCAAATAACCATTCCCATCCTCGTATTTTTCTCTTCAATACCTTGACTTGAATACTTGACACAAACCTCCATTCTGAGAAAGTTATGCAACAATGAACTGTTCTATAAACAGTTCCTTTGAAAAAAGGGGAAATTCTAGTTATTATGATCTGAAAGGCTATACAGCGAAGGAAATGCATGCACCATTCATGCATCACAAACAACACATGATT